TTGTAACATGTGGTTCTTTGAGTTACAGCTGCCTTCCTATCAGCTTGAAACAGTCAGACCATTGTCCTCCGACATCAATGAAACATTTTCACCCAGAGAGCTGAAGCTCACTGAATATTTGATCGTTTTTGGACTCTCTGTAAACCCTACAAATGGGTGTGTTTCTGAAATTCAGTTTGAACTTCAGCTGGTCATCTTAATCATGTCTACACACCTAAATGCACTGAGTTGCTGCCCTGTGATTGATTGATTAGATATTTGAGTTAACATGTAATTGAACAACCGTACTCAATTAAGTGGCCAGCAAGAGTATATTGCACTTATACCAATATTTTGGCAGAAACCCCACATTGTAGGTTAAATTATGCGAATGCATCCAAAATATTTTACAAACATAGAAACTCTTTATTACAACAGTATCTCTCGCTTTAGCTTCAGCTGTGTTTTTTTTTAACACATTCATATCATTGTACAGTGGAAGTCATTCTTTATCTTCACCACAGCTTAAAAAACAATCTCCGAACAAGTCAAAACAGAACCTAACACAAACATTCAACATCATTCACAGTTTGAGATATTTAGACGTGATAAAAAGAAGGTGTCAAGTTGGCCTTGTCACTAAAACACCCTCTGAAAAAATATCTTAAAAACCCTGTTTCCACAATACATAAGAAAGCCTCTTTATTTTAATCAGTCATTTTCACACGTCTCCCTCTAACAGTTCGCTATAAAATACAATTTCAGCTCATAGTTAAGCTGCAAAACCAAGTCTTTTAAAAACCTCAAGCAAATTCTGTCTGCTCTGTTCTTCCCACAACATTAAAGTAGTGTGCAGGGGTCGTATTAGACAGTGAAATATTGTTTCCTGCACTGAGGTACTTAAAAACAAAACCCTGAAGAGAATCAGGGTAGTAAAAAGAAAACAATCCACATGTATTCTCCTTAAAATCTCACAGCGGAAAAACACAAAGAAGGCAGTTACTGCACTTGTCAAAATACATTGGCCTCCTTGTCATCACTTCTTTTACAAATACCTAAACTCATCATTTAAAAAATGCTTGTGTTGACTGACATACACAACCAAACCTTACACAATTTTACTGAACATAACTTAGAGTTTAGTACATTAAACAATGTAGAGAACAGAATCATCAGTCAATTTTTAGCAGTGCATCAAGCGAATGCTGATTTATTAATTTTTTTAAGATCTAAATTTATATCCAAAGACATTGATAGATACATCACATGGCAGGAAGCGGGGGTAACCCTAAACATCGTAGTTACATCGTAAAGCACCAAGGAAAGTTTGTCTGTAAACAGCATGTACCAAATCCATGAGCAGTCAGGCCACAATATGTACACATCTAATGTAATCGAAATGGCTTAAAGCTGCCATTGTCACTGACAAAACTCCAAACTATTGTTCAATATGATGTTTTTATTGCTGTGTTCTTTAACATTACTTTTCTTGCAGTAATGTCTAAAATGACTTGCTGAAGTCTTGTAAAAAAAAAACAAAAAAACCAACAAAACTTTTTAATCTTCGTATTCGTATACTAGGGTAATTTTTCTGGTAGCAAGATATAACTGCACAATATTAAAGTAATGATTTCAGAGGGAGCCAGTGTATTTAAGCAAGTGTTTCTTAATTTGAGATGAAAAGAAATTCCTCAAAAATATTTTACTGCCAAAACGTCAGAGACTCAAACACCAAATTAATGTTTATTTTCATCTATTAAAAAAGCTTAAACAACATAAATAGCAATTCAGTGAGTCATTTACTGTACAGGGCTGAGCCGAAGGCCAAAATACAGCCTTTTATTTTCTTTTTTTTAAATAAAGCAGTAACTTCCCTGTTCGCAAGCAAAAGTTTGTACATCTGCATTTAACTGTTCAACCATGATTGTTTTCAAAAACAAGGATGAAAACTGATGAGGCAAAGTGCAGTGATCCAAAGATACAATTATTAGTCTTTAAAATGAATTTAGCTACCTGGTGGACAGCTTTCAAGAAAAAAATAGAGACACGTGTTTTCCTGAAAGACTGTGTTTCTTTGAACGTATTTTTCAAAATATAGAGACATTGAAGAGTCAGCTGTCTGTATATATATGGTTGTTTTTCGCCTGTTCAATCTCAATAAACTCTGAAGTCTCCTCTGCAATTTGTCCTGGGATACGGAAATCAATGGGTATGGCATGTGCCGGCTCGGCTGGCTGTGACTGAGCCACAGGGCAGCAGGCCTCACCCTTAGGACTGGAAGTGCTGTGAGAGTTTTGAGGATCCAAGTTGCAGCCGGTGCCCTGAAGAAACTGAAGGAAATTTTCCTCTATGGATCCTTCACGGCTGGGCAGTCTGTCCTCCACCTCGATCCCCGCTCGACGAAACAGGCAAGGCAGATGCTTGCCCAGCTCCTCTCGGATCTGTCTGTTCAGACAGCCGTAGAAGAAGGGATTGGAGGTGAAGCAGAAGTAGCCAATCCAGGTGACCACTTCCTCCAGAGAGGCCAGTGTGGCTGGAGGGCTGGCAGCCAGTGCTGAATACAGGTGGAAAGTAAAGTAGGGCAGCCAGCAACAAAGGAATTGCCCACCCACTGCTGCCAACACTGCTGCAGCCTTCCCTCCTCCAAAAGGGCGTTGTGGAGTTCCTCTGCCAGTTCCAGTACCTGTCCCGGAGCTCGTAACCATTGTAGAACGGCTGCTGAGTGACTCTGACCGCTGGCGGCGAGGTGTGTCCATCCACGTGGGCAGTGGGCCGTGGTGCATGGCAGCCACCCGGGCCACTTTAAACATGTTGCAGTAGACAACGAGAATCACCAGCAGTGGGCACAGAAAATACACCAGAGTGAAGAGAACCATGAAGGCCAAACGGTTTGACCCTCCCCCTGTCCAGTGCAGTGAGCAGCGCCTGTGACCCTGAGCCGGGGGAGGTGGCACGGCACCGCCACCCCCTCCCTCAACCCCGCTACTCTCCAAAAGAGGAGTTTTTCCACCCTGCAGGAACCAAGCGAGCAGTGGCAGAGCAGACATGGCCAGAGCTTTTACCCATATCCCTACAAGCACCGAAGCTACCAGGCCAATGGTCATCTTCACTTCATAACGCATCGGATGTATGATGTAGTAATAACGCTCCACATTGATGACAGAGATAGAGAGGATGGCAGCACTGACTAGGCACACACTGAGAAAGAGGTAGCTCCTGCACAGGGCCTCCCCGAAGAAGGCGCGGCTCGAGAGCATGCCAAGGGGCATCAGCACCAGGGCTGCCAGAAGGTCCACCACGCACAGGTGGAAGACAAAGGCAAACTTGTGGAGCTGCGGGGCCTTGGCAATGACCGCCATGACAGCGACATTACCCACCACAGCCAACAGATCCATGAGCAGCATCGCCAGTAGGGCTAGCGACTGGGACAGAGCCCAGCCTTCAGGCAGAGAGGAGGCAGACATGTTGGATGTGGGCTGTGGAGGTGTGTGGGAGGAGTTCCACATTGGCTCCATTGAAGGGTGGGACGAGGCAGGCGGGCAGAGTCAGTCACAGGCCCATCACCCATCCTTCAAAGAAAGGGAAATGTGGCCAGAAAACAGTGACTTGAAAATGAGGTAAAAAGCTGCCTCGTAGTCCAGAAGATGTTGCTGTGATGTCAGGAAGTTTAGATGTTTTGAATCCTTTCCATTAAAAAGCCTTCTTGTCTTTCATCAGTCACGGACCCACCCTACAATAAGAAGAAGAAGAAGAAGAAGAGAGGGTAAATATCTGTGAGTGGATGTTTGCCTGTGTGTGTACTGTGTCATGAGAGACCTCTAATTTGCAAATATCAGTTATATGAACTCATCCTTCCATGGTGAGTTTCCCTTTTTGCCCCAGCTACCATCAAAATTAATTCACTTAGATGAAGTTTTATAAAAAATCCTCCTTAGCTTCTGAAATCTCCGTTAAAGCGATCTTGCTGATAAGGTAATTCAAAGCCACCCCTCAAACCAATTAACTCTATTAGATATTCATTATTCAAGGCATGGACATTTGACACCTTTTTTAGCAACATGCTGCAGGAACTGAGTAAGTAAAATGAATGAAAAATGAGAAGTCATCATGCAGTAGAGTTAGGCCACGTCTAAAACCAAATAATAATACTGAAAAAAATGCGTATTTATTATCAGAATAACTCTAAGGGAAAAAAATTGGAGAGCAGTTTAATTTTTAAGAATATATTACAGCAAAGAAGGTCAACGATAAATCCAGACTTATTCTTCCCGGGCAGCAACAGCAGGAAGGTATAAATACTTTTCAAGCACACATCCTGTCTGTACATGAGCTAATTCACCAAAACCAGTACTATCACTGACTAGTTAATAGGCCTTTTCCATCACATCTACAACTGCCATGAGAGCACTCGCTTGCCTCAAAGATATATGCATATTTTGTGGTTAACCTGCATATTTATGACTACCTTTTCTAGCCCAAAAAAACCAAAACCTAGCCACAGACTCTGAGAGGCCTGTATGTAGGTCTGTGATTGTACAGAGGGTGATGTCTTCCACTGAGGAAGCCCTGATCATTTAGAATGAGTTAATTTAATGTTCCAAATAGAAATTCTAAGGATGTTCACAGGTTGAGCAGGCTGTTAGCATGTTACCTGTGCACAGAGACAGAGAGCTATGGTTGGCTGTTGCCATATAAAGGAAACCATGCTGCCTGCTGATATGAATTCTGTCTGCCACAGATGTGACGTTTACAGTCACAGTAATCCACATTCAAGTAAATACTGAGCTCTAACCTCTCTCATCGCCTATGAATGACTGCCCACACTGAGCAACGTCTGTATACCACACATAAGGGTACAGTCAATTCACTTTAACCCTCCTGCCTGGTTTGGCCATTCCTTTCCCTTCCACCTGCTCGTTTATGTTTTAATTATTAATGCATTACACCCATTTTAATAATAAGCAAGGCTCTTATTCTGTATATCAGAATGTAGCTTAAATGAATTTGTTGCAGTCAGCGCTACACAACGAGCAGATTACAGGAGGCGTGAGAGAACAAGCGAGGAGAATGTGGTGAGGATCGGGGAGTGTGATGGGAAGACACAGAAAGAAAAAGGCAGAGAGCATAATATACCTGAATCAGAGTATTTCCTGATGCAGCTGTCTGCTGCTTTGGGGTTTGAGGATGGAATCCTGGTTTAGCTCCTACTGCTGAGGTACACAGTGGAAATCAATCACTGTACCTTAAAAAATGCTGCTGAGGTACTTCCCACTGTAACAGCCTGTTTCTTTCTCCATCCCTTGATCTGCCTAGTGCATCCTTCTCCCTAGCTGACAACAGCTGTGGCAGCAGAGATTTCTCTGAAACGATGCTGATGTAAATGCTTGCAAAGACACCAGCTCACTCTCTGCCTTCCCCCTCCACTCACACACATTGCAGAGATGGAGCAGGAGGCAGTGAGAAACAGGACCAGAGCTGCTGTCTCCACAGGGTCCTAATGTCCTTACCGTCATCTCAATCTGAGTCTTCAAAAATGAAGGAATGCCACTGCAGCAGCGTTATAAATTTCTTTTAAATAACGAGTGCTTTAGTGTGTCTCAGCCGGGTTGTCACAAAGTTGGTAAAGATGGTCTTCAGAGGATAACAGCAGTCACTTTGGCAGTCCTCTGACTTCACATTCAACCACACAGGTAGCTTAAATATTAGCTTTATTTAAAGGGTAGCTCAACTTCCTATGTTAAATTTACTGCAGCAACAGTCAGAAAGCCGCTTTGCTAACTGTACATGTTCTCTAAATAATGTACAGAGCAAAATCCATTCACTGCTGATGTGCAATTTTTGCTTGCTGTGTGACATGATGGTTACTTTGCTACACCCTGACTGCTCCAGATGAAGCACAGCTGAGCTTCACATTTTTAAAAGTTGCCCTCTGCTGGGGATTTAGAAGGGGGAAAACATGTCACCTTTCCTGACAGGAAACCTACTGTCACCTACCACTAGCATACCAAAAATATTGTTTGTGTGTTTCCAAACTCCTACCTTGGAAAATACGATTCCCAAATAACCTGTTAAGGTTCATAAATCTTTGCTCATGCTCCTCCCTGTCATATCCCGCCCCCTATTTCTCCTTCCTCTTCCAGTTGATTTACTGTTGTCAGCCTGTAGTGTTTCAGTTTGTTATTCTACAGATTAAAGCGCCTTCCAGTCTAAGATTTGCTGAGACATTGAAGGATTGATTAGGCCAGGCCTCAGCCTCCATCCATCCCAGCTTCTCAAACTGGGACTCCTGTTGCCACGGTGATCTTTTTCACATGGAGTCCATCCTCACTGCTCTGTCTGCCGAGGACAATGAAATCTGGGCTATTATGGATAAGGCTACTCTACTGAAGGAGTGGGCATAAAGCTGCTGAGTTCTGGGGTGTTTTTCATTTGCATTTGTAAGGTTTCCCATAATTACACACATAACATTTGCATTTCATGGAAATTATGTCTTCTTTGACCATTAAAAAGCATGTTTTAATTTGCAGCACCTCTCATGCATTTTTAGATTAAACTAGTTGTTCACTAATAGCTCTATTATGATAACGCCACTGCTTTAGTTGCTGTGAGAATTGAGGTTTTCTAGTTTATTGCTCCCATCCTCCATATCAGTGTATTTATTGCACTATGGCAAGTAGAAGATGCTGAGAGTGGAGTGGTGTCACCCACTTAAAAAAGAGCAAATAGTATTTATTGCTACACCATCTGTCACTGCAGTTGTTTGATTCATTTCTAACCAAAGCACCTTTTTTTTTTTTTTGAAGATTTGTGAATTGAGTTATTGTGTTTTTACAGCATTACAAATTTGCAGATTTTAAATATGTTGGACCTGTGGCCTGAGGAATTCTCCATTTCACCAAGAAACTGCTGCTGACAGATTCCCATACAGGTGGCTATGGTAAGAAGTTTGGCATCATTTACAGCTCCGTGCTCATCACTGTGCCAGGATGTGTAAAAAAAAAAAAAAAAAAAAAAGAAGCTATTTTTTGTCCTTTGGCCTCACAACTCAAATGCAAACATGATAAATCACACTAGCATCATTTTCTGTATGTTACATAACTGAGTGATTATACGTTAATCGCCACCATCATCATCAGCTTCTTTCAGCCAATGCTTGAAAAACAAGAACAAGCAGAACATACAGAACATAAGGAAACATGACCAGTTTTTGGTGGAGGGATTTAATAGACAGCATTTACTACTGTTGTCATGGCGAAGATGTATCAAGATGCCTGGTAGCGCTGAGGAAGGATGCGAAACGTACACATGCTTGTGTAACGCACAGCACTTCTCAAACACTACACATGAGTGAATCCACATTGCAGGTATGCGGTGTGGATGTGTGCACTGTGCGAGTGAAGCTGTCTGCTTGAATCTGTATTCAGGCATGTTCACCTGAGTGTGTGTGTCTGTGTGTGTGTGTGTGTGAGAGAGAGAGAGAGCATATCATGTGTTGACTCACGACAAAAATAGCAGAGTCTTGCTTGGCCGGCAGCACCAATCACTGCCACCACAAATACAATGGTTTCCATGGCAACCTTGAAAAATAGACTCCACATTCGCACTCAGAAATAGCAAAGGACGCTTGCAATGACCCCAGAGAGCCCCTACTGCCAATAATAACCACTGATAGATATGAATGCGCAAATAACAGCAGCACTCAGAAATTGAAAAAAAAAAAATCCTTCCATTACATTTACCAAAGCATAATTACCGCTGCCTACACAAACAATCAGCTCAAATCCAAACGCACTTTTTGTAGGGGTGCACCAAGGCACGGGCAAACATTAACCTGCACCGTGTTGATAACATCAAAGCAAGAGAACAAAACGACTGTTAAGGCGAGCTGCACAATACCTGAGTGAAGGATACAGAGTCTTTACAAATGTCTAACAAGCGTCTGTCATGTCACATTTTCAGATGGCTTGTAGAAGTCAAAATGTGTTGGAGTGTTGCAGAAAAAGACTTAAGTGCTGACTGAATGTTGCCTTGGAGACTCTTGGGGAGGAAGGTTTATATCAGAGCAGACAGTCAAACATATTAGGATGCAGGGATTTTTTTTCTACACCCCCTGGGAGCTAAACAGCAAACATTTCCACTAAATTTAGTAAATATTGAATTACTACCAGGCAGGTTCTGGAGCTGCTATAATGCAGAGACACAGATTGACTTATTTTGCCATGTGCAGTATGTTTTTTGGGTTTGTTTTTTTTTAAAAATATGTTGAAGATGTGGCTCTCTCTTTTATTACTATACTGTAATCAGAAAGTTTAGCATAAACACCTACATGTGCCTCTGGTGGTGTCAAATTTACTAGCTACATTTATTTATTTATTTTCTGTGCGCTGTAAACGGCCTCTGAACACTATGCATGTTTGTATACATGAACACTTGTAGCCAGTGCATTTACCAGTTGTGCATATTTCCTACTTTACAGGTAAAACAGATCAATGATAATTTTCTTTATTGATATGTTGATCTGTTACACAATCAGTACTTACATATGTGTGTGTGGGTGTGTTTGCTCAATGTAAGACGTAAGAGCGTCAGCGCTTCGCCCTACATAGAGGAAAGCAAGGTCACAATCAGTTTTACTGATGGGGTATTGTCAACACCCTGCCGGGCAGGCAGGCAGGCAAGCGACGTGAGCACCTAAGTTTTTATAAATGTGATAAGTGGAGAATGAGGCGAAGTAGGAGCTTCAAATTGCTACCATAGGTGAGTCTACTAAAATTACTGGATGACTTCAAATCTCAGTGCCCTTGGCCTCGGGGTCAGAGTAGGTTTTCTAAAAATCTTCTAAATGCAATAACTTGAGAACGAAGCAACATAGGATTTTGAAATTGATGCCTTGTTGTGTATACTAGGGGGCTGAGGGGGAGCACAGGTGGTCAGCAGTATTTTTCATATATACTATAAGCCATACGTTGTTGGGCTTACTTTTTTACTTTATACTTCCAGGCCACTACTTTCAGGTAGAAATATTGTGTGTTTTTAAATGTGCAAGACTTTTTCAAAGCTACTTTTACACACAAGCATATAGTTTCTAAAATATATTTTTTCCAGGTTAAATTTGACAGTATACACTGGCTGGCCGCTTCATTAGTTTTGCTGGTATTCGGTCGGACTCCCCTCTCACTTTCAGAAGTGCCTTTATTCTTAATGGCACAGATTCAACAAGGTGCTGGAAACACTCAGAGATTTTGGTCCATGTTGACTTGATAGCATCACAGAGTAGCTGCCGATTTGTCAGCTGCACATCCACGATGCAAATCTCGTGTTTTTAACCACAGCCCAACATGTCTATATTGGATTAAGATTTAATGACTGTGGAAGCTGTTAGAGGACAGTGAACTCATTATCATCATTGAGAAACCAGTTTGAGATGATCTGAGCTTTGAGACATGGTGCATGAACCTGCTGGAAGCAATCGTCAGAAAATGGGTACACTGTGGTCATGAAGAGGTGGACACAGTCAACAACAATACTCAAGTAGACTGAGTATTATTGAGTATTACTGAGGGGTGGATATTTAAGTTACTGTTCAGTTCATGTCAGCTCAAAGTAGTGGCTATTCTCCTCTAACCTCATGCAGTAGTAGAGCATTTTTACCCAGAGAACTGCTGCTCACTGGATATTTTCACTTTTCTGTAAACCCAAAAGAGCAGTTGAACAGGTGTGCCTAATGAAGTGGCCACAGAGAGTGTCCTAAGTAGTCAAAATGAGCCATTTAGTTACAAAATGCATTTGTTTGTCTGTTCACACAGATCTTCATGAGCTTTCTGGAAGAGGCAGAGCAGCTGAGTTATTTGTGTAACGGGTGAGCAGAGCTGAAAAGTTATACAAGAAAGCACATGTGCTTCTTCGAGCAGGGCCTGAACATGCTGCTTGCACCAGATGGTGGCAGTATGTCCACTGTATTGTGCATTGTATTATCAGTGGTTGCCGGCTGCATACATTATGAACAGTGAGCAGTAATATCTCAAATAATGATAGAAAGAAACCATATTAACAGTAACCATCAAGTAAAACCGCAAAAGCTTTTATGCATCTTTGCATCCACCGGAAGGCTATTCGTCATTCTTCCAAAGAAATTCAATCATTTGGTGGTTTGATGATGGAGATGGAGAGATGATGGAGGGCTGTCTAACACAATGGGACAAAATCTTAAACAGATTAACATGATATCCATGCTCATCAAACCTTTCAGTGATCCCTGATGCTCAGGACTACTTACAGTGAATTTATGTGCAGTGATCCCTCTTTTTAAAGGGGCAAGCAAACTCAAACAACCTCAGCATAACGTCCCCCATCGCATAACAGAGCCACAGAGTTAATTCACTGAAGGGTTCAAGATTTTTTCTT